CCCCGCAAGTCCCAGCCCCATCACCCCCACCCCACACCCCGGCTGTTCCCGATACACCCGTGCCAGCCGTCTCTGGCTGTGGGGGGCACACGTTTCCTCGCTGCTTCCCAAAGCTCCTGTGGAGGACGCTTGGGCACCCCTATATTTTTGCCGTGACCTCCCTTCCCATCAAGGCAGGGCAGGTGGATTTGGGATAAAACACAGCTGGGCTTTGCTGGAGGACTATGAACCTGCTCCTTGATGCTCCTCCCAGCACCAGGCAGCATTTGGTGCTGAGCCAAAGCTATAAATGCTCCCCATCCCTCCCTTTTCTGGCCTTACGAAGCACTTAGAAGCTATGCGAGCTTGCACAAGAGGACAGGTGAAAGCTAGCGTCAGCTCAGAGAGGTCTCCAGGAGGGAGAAAAAAACCCTACATCTTCCTAACTCAGGCTGCACCCACCATCCAGGCACGTGTTTCCTCTCATCCTGAAGTGTTTCAAGTCAAATTTGCAACTGAGGATTTTATTCACATCTGCAGGCAAGGGAGATTTGGTATCTATGAGTCCTTGCCTCCACCGGTGGAGCAGATGCCATAGGCTCCTCCAGGAAAGCTCAGCTTTTGCTGAACGGTGCTCTCAGAAGGTCAGCCACCTCTCCCCTTCCGATTTGGGGGGGTCTGAGCACCTCAAGGTTGACGTTATATCTCTATATGCATACGGAGAGCGGCGGGGCTCACCTGCGCTCAAGGCGCGCGGCACCTCTTCCATGGTGACTCCGGTGGAGAGGGTGGTTTTGCCGGTGTCCGTGGCTACGGCCGCGGTGGGGCTCATCACAGTCACTGGGGGGGACGTCGGCTCCACGGCCAGGCTTGATGCCATGGCGAGCGTCCCCAGGGAAGAGACGTCCTTGGTCGGTGCCGGTGGCTGGGTGATGCCGGGGCTCTTGAGGACGGGCGTGGGGGACAAGACCGTCCCGGGGGATGAATACCGGTCGCTGGTGGGGAGGGAGGAGGAGGATGGTGATGCAGGTATACCCGTGGGGCGGGGAGCTGTCCCCAAATCCATCGTGCCTCTTGCCAAGCTGGCAGTATTTGCTGTCCGAAGACCTGAGGCTGTCTCCAAGGTTGGTAGCACCGAGGTGGGCTTGGAGGCTACGGATGGGCTCTCTGCTATGGTGACGGTGGCTGCGGTGACGGAGGCAGGAGC